AAACATTGGCACACTATTGGGATAACTTATGACTTACTATTATTTAATGATGGCTTAATGATAGTTCACGATGGTCAATCGTGATTGGTTAATTAATTACTTGCCAACTAAAACTTGATAATGGTGGGTTGTGAGCACATGGTTTTGAGAGTCGTGCTCATGACAATTAAGGACCGGTTCGCGAGCTACTATTGTGAAACATTAATCGTGCCAACCACAAGCCAGCGTGGGCAACGGCTTTACCTTTTGTATAGCATGGTTCATTGCGGAGCACCAGACTGAGAAGTGGCGGAGATAAGCCCACGGGGGTCGCTGGGGAGTCCATGCCTCTGGTTTTTGAGGGGGTGATTATGATCCAGGAATGGTGCACTGTGGGGAGTTGTGTTGTGCAGAGGGTATTGTCACAGCCTCTATTCGGGTACTTTCCAGTATCGCGACGCATGGTAGACATGATGTTGAGGCTGTGTCTTGTGGGTACAGTGGTATACCTCTGGCCAGAGTAAAACTATTCGAATAGCCGTGCCCGCGGTTATGGGCGGGTTGAGCAATGTTTTTCGTGATTAGTCTCACACCTCTCACAATAATTATTGATGCTATAACTGGTAATAATTTGTTTAGCTCCTGGTTTGGAGTTAGATCTGTACAGCCGGGTATGGTTGTTCAGGATGGTTGGGCCTGTGCAGCATGGGTCTGCTGTTCAGTGTTGATTAAAATTTCTGATTAATTACTCCACTATTTTACTTCTCTTAAATGTTTTGCTAAATGCTGCTTTTGCAAATGAGCCTATATTATGCCATCCTTTGGTATCCTTGTGCACTTGCATATTTGCTGTGTGGCTTGTTGAGTATGTCATATGCTCATTCTTGCAATAATCAATCAACCTCAGTTGAAGAAAAAGGATCCAGAAGGAGAAGACGTTTGGCTTATACCCCAGTTGAGCTGCCTGTGGGAGTGGAGCTGAAGCCATCGCTAGACCGTTATTTCGCTGCTGTTTTCTTTTCTTTTGTAAGTGTGTAACGTTATTATTATGATGGATTTGTATATTAAATTGTCAGTTTGTGTACCTCGGCTGATTCCTGGACGAGGATTTTATGCATAAATAAGTTCGGAAATTACTAGTGAATTTCCGGGCGTGACATCCGCGACGTGGACGGCGGCGACCTGTTCTTGGTCGACGTCGCGCCGGACGGACCCGCCGGCCTCGCCAGCGCCGTGCTCCTCCTGTTTTTTTTTTATTTTAGAACTAGGGCGATAGCGCCCCCATTTCTCTTACTAGAAATGATAGTCATTACAACAAGTCTTGAGAAAGTAAAAAAACAGAGAACTAAAGATAAACCTGACCACTGAGTGGGACAGGAACAAAAGACCATCAGCATAACCATTACAGGCCTAACCAAGATGACGATCCTAGATACAGAGTACTAGGGATTAAACAGACATTCCAAGGAGTATCAAACAAGATCAAACTGCCAGGGAGAGACTAAGCCGGTCCAATTCTTCTGATGCCTCCTCGCCAGCCATGACTTGAATTGAATACTTCACTTGCCACCTGCCTTAGCACCCTGGTTCCCAGCTGCAAACTTCTTCGACTTGCTTCCTGTTTCTGTAGACAAGTCCAGGAATCCACCAGATTACAAGCCATATACACTAAACCAGTAGGATCTTGAGGAAATTTATTCTCAAAACAAACTTTGTTTCTGGACTTCCAAATAGTCCAGATAACAGCAGCTATCCTAGTAATAACAAGGTTTTTTGTGAATTTCTCTATATTATTGAGCCAAGAACCAAAATGATTCATTCTGTTTAGACAAGGTTTGAGATTCAAAGCTACAGCAATGACATTCCATAACATTCTGGCCAAAGGACACTCAAAAAAACAGGTGCTGGATTGTCTCTTCCTAATCACAAAAAACACATTTGTTATCACCTTTTCTCCAACCTCTTTTAAAAATATTATCTTTGGTAAGAATCTTGTTTCTGGTAAAAAGCCAAATGAAAATTTTAATTTTCAGAGGAATTTTGAATTTCCAAATCTTTTTATGTGGACAATTGACCTGTTGCATTTTGAGAGCTCTATAGAAAGATTTCACAGTGAATTTCCCATTTTTGGACAGAGTCCACCACACTTTGTCTGAACAGTTATCATCTAAAGTCAGCTGCTCCCAGCTAAGAAGAATCCTTTCCCAATTTCTAAATTTATCCCCTTGGAAATCCCTTCTGAATTTAATGGTCCCAATTCCTTTCCTATTTAGATCAGCAATAGAGATCCTTTTTGTTATAGCAATGTTGTATAACTCAGGGAATTGTAAAGCCAAGGGTCTGCCACCCATCCAGCTATCTTCCCAGAAAAGAGTTCGTTTTCCATTACCTACAATTCTGGTACACAGATTGAAAAAAGCATCTTTCACTTCCATGATACCTTGCCAGAAATGGGAACTGCCAGCTCTAAGGTGGTGTTTGGTTCGGATGTGGTAACGTAAACGCTAATGGTATTGCCTCCGGCCGTAATGGTTACCATTTTATCCGATTACACGATTAGTTTGGTTGCAGGCGGTAACGTCATTTGTTTACATTACTGCGTTTGGTTGCGGATTGCAGCCAAGGAACGGGAGGCTGATCCAGGACACAATTCGAAATTTGAAACAAAAGCCTTTGGGAAGATCATTTGCTTGGATCGCTGTTACTAATCAAAGAACTGCTTGCTTCCCGACAACCATTGATCAAATAACTGATTAAATGGCAAGAGAAAGGAGCAAAAAGGAGACCTCCGCGTCGCCCTCTCGCGCGGGCGGCACGGAGGGCGAACCCTAGCCCCCGCCGCCTCCTCCCTTCCTCTCCCACCCCTCGCTGCCGTCGGAGCGCGCCGCCGGAGTTCCGCGCGGCCAGCCGTGAGGGCGGCGGCGAGGCCTTCCCCCGGCGACGCGACGACTCAGCGCGAGGACGACGACGCGGCGCGCAATGGGTGGGCGACGGCGACGGCGACGGCGCGGCGCGAGGCTTCGGATCCGGCGGTGCCACCACCGGATCTGGCACCCCCGTGGCCGGATCCGGCGCCCTGCCGCTAGACCTGGTCGGCGGCCGACGGGGTGGAGGCCGGAGTGGGTGCGGCGGTGCTGGCCCGACGGAGCTGGCCCTCCCGCGGACTGACTGGAAGGGAGGCGGTGGGGAGCGCTGGACCCGGTGCCCGGTGGCGGCTGGCGGCGCAGGCTGCAGCGGCGGCGGGCCGGCACGACCTCGTCGGCGCCACCCCCCCCCTCTCCCCACTCGCCGGTGATGGCTGGGCATGGCGCATCGATCCGGGACCCTAGCGGCCGGATCTAGGGTTGTCGCCTCGTCGCGCGGCGCGGTGGACGGCGGTGGCATGAGCGGCGCTGCGTCGAAGCGGCCTCGGCCGGCATGTGCCTCGGGCGACGTGCGCCCGCGACGACGGCAATGGTGGTCGGTGCCCCAGCCCTCGGTCGATGCTCAGGGGCCTGCATGCCTCCAGAGATGCCGCAGCTGGTGATGGCACGACTTGGCGGTGCGTCCTACGGGTGCCGTCGCCACTGCCCCCTCGTCGTCCCTTGCAACACCAACCTCTTCCCCTTCCCCTCCCCCTAGTATTCTCGTTTGTGTGCTCTCTACCCCCTAGTTCCAAACATCCTGGTGATCTTGCCCTTCAACTTCTTCTCAATCTGGCGTGCTTGTTTGGAAATTGTGCTCCTCTAGCAGCTCGGATTGCTGCGGTTCTATGCCCTCCTCCAAAAGTTGCCGTTGATGTTCTTCCTCTGTGAGAATCCCCTTAGCCATTTCCCCTTCTGTCTAGATCCCTGCTCGTCTTCACCCTCTTCCTCCAGATGTCCAGGACCACAAGGATTAGTGTTTCTCCCTCCTTTGAGGCTTCCTTCCCTTGAAGGGCGTCGGAGAAAGTTGATCTAACAAGCAATTTGATAAAGCCTGATTGAAGAAGACTTAATGCGGGTGGCCTCGAGCCGCAACCTTCAGTGGCCCTCCCTCCTTTGGGGCTTCCTTCCCCCAAAGGGCGTTGGCGAGCTCTGATCCAAACAGCAACAAGATCAAGTCAGCTTCTTGATGGCTTCATGCGGGTGGCCTTGGACTTCAACAGCTTTCCCTTGCCTCTCTTCTTTTCCAACAAGCTTGTGGCTGTGTGAGGAATTGGATGTTGATTAGTTGGGGTTTAGCAGTAAGTTTTGGAATTTGGCAAGATATTTTTGCAGGTGTCGTTCATCAATTGTAATCTTTTAGGAGGTTTTCTTTCTCTGTTCTCTCCTCGTTGTATTTCTCTGTGTATTCTGTTCTCCTATCCTCCAGGGCCCCTGCGCTTGCGTAGGTAAAGCTTGCCCTGTGTAAGATCATTTGGCTCAATATATTCAGGTGGGGATTCTCTCCCCCGGTGATTTAGTCAAAAAAAAACTGATTAAATGAAGCTGGTATACAAGTATGCTTATAAATAAAAGTTCAACCTAAAAATAATTTCCTATACATGCAACGAGCAAAGTTTTGACAGATAGTGCATAGTATTCCAAACACTGTCACCTCATGTTTGGATACAAATTTTGACAGTGAGAACTCAAGACAAAAAGACATTTTGCAGAATTTAATCAGTGATATACTTCCAAAATTTAATAACGAAGGAGTGGATGAAAAGTTGACCCATGCTGGGAGTGATAACTTCAGAAGCTCAATGAACCAAACAACAAGAGGATACATCATGATCTGTCTAAATAAAGTACTGAGGAAATATATGGATGAAACTACCAGATTAGTAAACAATAAGCTAGGGGCAATTCTTCTGTCTGAAAAACAGGACAGTACTTTGATAACAGAATATGTAGATTGTCATGGTTCAAGCAAATAAAGCTGAAGTACTGAAACTAAACATCCTTAGGACGTAGGTAGTCTCCAATCCTTAAGGCCTATGCTTATATGGAATTCTAATAATTCAAAAACAGATAATGAACATCTTGTAGATCATGTTTGACAGCCAGCACATCAGTACATCAATTTTTCTTCGCCTCATCTGATAACAAAAAAAAAATCAGAAATTAGTGAAAGAAACATTAGGTGAAAGAAAATATATAGTGCTCAGCATCATACCAAATTAAGAATATTCTTGCACAGACAAGCCATATATGATATTCAGAAAAAGGTAGGATTTTTTAACTTTAGGAGTACAAAAACTCCCAGTTAGGTGTAAGCAAGTAAGCAAGAGACCAAGCACATACTCCAGTTAGAAGTGAATATGATATTACTATGGGATTGAGATGGACAGCTGGGTCCATTGATGCATTATACTAGTGCAAGGCAAATAATATGAATGCATATATGAAATGCTAAGTGGTAAAGAGCAATATGCTTACAATTAATGATCACAAAATAAAGTGATATGTTGCCTGTTGCAGTTGCAACACTACAAGATTGATCAAGTGAATTACCAGCAAGTATTTTCAGTACGTACTCCCTCCTGAGAGACTCTGGAAGAGCGATAAGCATACTCATTTGAGCCGGCACTTTTACAAAAGCAGCTGCAGCATTGACAACTTCAGTACCAGTCAATCCAAGCTTTTGACACTCAAGAATAGCTTCGTTCTGAATTTTTTGTAGTGGGTCCTCCTCAGCCATTGCCTTCTCTTGGATCTCAGCTTCACGTTGCATAGATGCTACCATTGCTCCCACATGCTTTGTAACATCCGTCGGATCACCTTGAACATTGGCAAAGACATCCATAAAAGGGTCACTTGACAAGGTATTTTTCAGTTTGTTGCTGTTTTTCTTCCTCTTCTTAGAGCTTGAAGCAGTTGAATCGATGCTTCGTCGAGGTGCGGCTGAATCGATGCTCCGTCGAGGTGCGGCTGAATCGATGCTCCGTCGAGGTGCAGCTAAATCGATGCTCCGCCGAGGCGTTTCTCTAGACACTCTCTCTTCATCCTCCTTATCTTCTTCATCTTGAATATCTTGAACAATTTCTTTCTCCATATTAGCAACAGCCTCACCAAGACCCTCTGCACCTTCTCTAGTAGCAATGTCTTTACCATAAATTGCAGCTAGTGTATCATAGTGAGGGAATGCTACACCATATAGACCCTTTGCCTCATTGTTTTTCTGTAAAATACAAAGAATGACACAAAATTAAGGTCATGGTTCAGCAAGCAAAAGAGAGACCTATGCAGCTACAATTGCATGAAAAACACAAGAGAACATATGTATGAGAGAGCATACTACTAGAAAACCATAATGTTGTCTTTGCAAACGTTTCAGAGGAATTTTACATAGCCGCTTATTTGGAACAAAATTTCAGAAAATATCTTACAGTAGTTTCACATATTTCAATTCAATGCACTCATGAATCAATAAATAAATTTTCTACTCCATAGTTAGTTTGATGACTTACCCTGCAATGATCATCGTATTGTTGTTTCTCACATTGTATCATCTTTCTATTGTCATCCCAAGAAAAGCCACTTTTGGTTAGCATCACTTCAATTGTGCCAAACTTGGTCGGAACAGCAGTAAGGCCAGAACTTGGCAACTTCTTAGCAAGCACGTTCTCTAGAACTTGGCAGTATCCATTTTTGAAACCCCCTTCTGATTTCCAGCTTGGATCTAAAGCAATCTCGAACAATGCCTTGATCAGCTCCTCATCCTCAAAGTACGTCCAAATCCTCTTGTTCTTGCCTCTCCCACGCACAATGCATGAGCTTCCAAGATGCTCCATAACTGCAATATTAGAAATTCAACAGAAAACTAACATCAGTAAGCATCCATAATTGTACCAACATTTTTTTAGTTCTGATTTGCAAACAATTAGAAATTCCATTTAAAACACAAACCTCAATGAGCCCTATAGCTATTATACATCCCCTGAGCAAGAGTGTTGCGAAAATTTGTCCAATCATCAGATGTCGAAATAGCTGAGATAAACTCAGGTTCGGCGAGTTCTCCCTCAAGTATATCCAATGGTATCTCGTCCTCATCCTTATCCTCGTCCTCATCCTCAAACGGATCACTAGACATCTTTTGCAAAATTAAGTTGTGCAATAAAGCACATGCCATTATAATTCGACACTGAGTTTTGATAGGAAAATATGATGGGGATCTCAAAATCGCCCAACGACCCTTTAGTCTTCCAAAAGACCTCTGTACAATATTTCTAGCACTTGCATGCCTCATGTTAAAGTACTCCTCTGCACTACATGGTGGGTTACATGCTGTGAAACGGCCTAAATGATATCTTTGGCCTCGGTAAGGGGCTAAAAAACCATCTGTCACTTTCATGACACCCCACAAGGTATCCAAAGTGCTCAATCAAACCTAATCTTCAAGCCATCTCCAAAACACTCCTACACTCTCATCTAATCTCTCAATCTCACAAGATAGTCTCAAGATTTGAGTGGAGGAAGCAAAGAAAGATTGGGAGTGGCTAGAAAACCCTAGAACATGAAAGAACTGAAGCGGAATGGCCAAAGGGTGACCTGGGGACGAAATCCATATATATAACGGCTAGGTGACGTCATCTAGCCGTTACTCACAAGTTTGAACTGGAAACCTGCCAGGAGGTTCCGGGCAGCACTTAGGAAATTTTTTGCAATGAAACAGCGCCCGGAAGTTCCGGCCAGAACCTCCGGGTAGCCCTCTCTGTCTCGGGGAGAAAATCATTTTTCAAAAATGATTCCAAAAATCTTTTGACTCAAGGATATGACTAAGAGCACTTTGTATACCCTAGAACCACACTTGAAACCCCTCTTAATAGTACGGTTTTTCCTAAACTTAATTTCGAAAGTGAAAAACCTAGTCTAATAACCTTCGGCGATCTCCTTGCATTCTTAGCCATCACAACTTGCTTTGGGACTAAACTCCTGTGAATAAACTTGATAAATACATTAGTCCCCTTTAACCACCTTGTCATTAATCACTAAAACCCACTAGGGGGTTTAAGTGCATCTTCAATCTCCCCCTTTTTGGTGATTGATGACAACATAGTTAAAGCACACAAAAAGATAATAGAATTTAAATTTAGAATGATGAGAGAAGTGTGAAGCTCCCCCTAAAGATATGCATATAATGAACTTGATATGAATACATTATGCATAAGATGAAGGAAAGCTCAAAAGAAACTTCACACTACCCTCATCAAATAAGAGATGCAGATGAAAGTGCTTGAATGATGAGTGATGCAAAAAGAAAGACTAAATGACATGGCAATCACTCAAAAAGATGAAAAGAACACAACATCACATCAAAATGCAACATCCATATGGTCTAACTTACTAACATAAAAGAAAATAAAGCATCTAACAGTCATTACATCCAACCATAATAGAATACATTACATGTCCATATAGAGAGAGATAATAGAGTGGAAATCTGTCTGGCCAGAACCTCCGGATCATAGGACCCGGAACTTCCGGCCAAATGACCAGACAACAATCAAGGCAGCAAAAGGTTTTAAATGGATTTAAATGATGACCACCTTCAATTCACAATTTCTCCCCCTTTGGCATCAAGGCACCAAAAAGCGAGAAACCTTGAAGAGAAGAATAGGATCACTCATCTCCATCTCCATCAGAGGGAACAATCTCGGTATCACCGGAGAGATGAGACTTGTCGGACTGAGCAGCGGTGTCACCCTCATCAACATCAGTGGGAGCATCCTCAGCGGCTGCCTCGGTGTCACCCTCATCACCACCATCATCATCATCAGAATGGGAAGATTCTTCATTGAAGTAGGTGGATGGACCTTCACCGGCAACGTTGCGGGCTGCCTCATAAGCCTCAAATGGATCAACATAGACCTCATCCTTAGAATCATCTGACACTTCTTTCCCAGCCTCTCTTCTATCTTCCTTCTGACGCCTTTCGATCTTCTTCACTTTCTTGGCAGTCTTAGCACACATACAGAAAATTGCCTGAAGTGCCTTCTTGATGGGAGAAGAACTCGAGGAACTCGGTGGGGCACTAGAAGAAGGACCAGCTAAGGTAGAAGGAATGGATCTAGGTACCACTGGAGAAAAGGAAGGTGGAGCATGAGGGCGAAAAGGATTGTGGCGCCCATCTTTGATGTAGAACACCCCGGTGACTGTCTCAATCATCTTCATAATGAAAGGGGCATAGATGCAACCTCGCTTAGGCTCAAGAATGGTGTTGGCGATCTCATACCAAATCAACTTCATCACACTTAAGGGAGGCTAATTGTAGCGCATGCGACTGAGAAGATGAGCATGCTTGGATGGCAAGGCAGTAGCATTTCCAACCTTTGGAAGCAAAGACCAACGAAAGATGGAGTATAGCACTTTGTAATTGGGATGCAAACCATGAGTAAATCCCATCCAAGTCCTAGGAGCATTCTTTGCATACATGAACTTGGTCTTGATCATGGGGAGGGGTGCTTCACTATGAATGTTGGGCCTATTGAGATCCTCATCATCTAACCCCAACATCTCAGCAAACTGCACCATGGAAATCTTGTGCCTAACACCCTCAGTCAACCACTTCACATATGGGGTTCCCTTCCTTGTAGTACCAAAGAATGTTGTTGCATAGAACTGTGCAATGACCTCCTCATTCCAATCATACTCCAAGGCAAGAATATCTCCAAGATTCTTGTTGTGGCACACTTGCATCACTTGGTTGAACACTTCATTGTTCTTCTTCCTCATGTAAGCCCAATCAATCCACTTCATCTCAACCATTGGATTTTCTCTAGCCATAATCACTGAGTTATACAAATCCAATTAAGTGAAAGTCCTGAAGTGAGGATCCTGTGACTCCTTGTCACACCCTGAAGTTCTTTCCCAAGCCTAAATTGGAGTTTTAAATGGTCTCGAGAAAATACCAGTGTAAAGCAAGAGTAAACCTTAATAAATTAATGCAAATAATAATCGGATTTGGCATGTGGAATTTTTCTTGAGTTCTACATGTCGAAATACGCTAACAAGATTTTTAGTGGAATTTTCAGAGCTCTAGAAATAATTTTAACCAATTAAAAATGAGCACAAGCAATATTTAATTCCCTGGAAATTCTTTTCCTCCTTTTTCTTTCTTTTTCCCTTCCTTTTTCTTTTCGGGATGGGCCACCGGCCCATTCTCTCCTTCCCCCCTTTTTCCCGCTGGGCCGGCCAACAGGCCGAGGCCCAGCTGAACCGGCCGCCCGACTCCCTCTCTCTCCCGGGGTTGCCGACAGGTGGGGCCCACCTGTCGGGTCCTCCCCCAACCTCCAGCAGCCGCCACCGCGCTCCGCAACCGCCGCCGCGCCCACGCTCCCGCCTCCTCCGGGCCACGTCGGCAACGCCCGCGCGTGCGCCCGGGTCTCCCGCGCACATTCCCTTTCTCTCCCGCCGGCGCTCGCGCTCGAGACGGCCGGGATTCGATTTTCGAATCCCGCATCTCTCTCCTCTCCCACTTCCCCCACGTCGGCCGGCGATTCCCGCCTCTCCCGGCCACGTCCTAGCTCCCTCTCCCCTATTTAAGCATCCCCACTCTCCCCTCTCTCTTTTTCCCCATTTCGCCAAGCTTCCCCGTGCCCTCTATCGCCCAAGCGCCGTCGCCCTCCAATCCGCCGCTGCCGCCGCCGCTCCGGTCGCCGCTAGCCGCCGTGCCGTCGACGCCGTCGCGTTCGCCGTCGTGCGGGCCGTCCCGTCCACCCCTCCTCCGTTGGAATCCGCCGCCGTGCGCCGGTGAGCACCGCCATGGCCGCCGTCCTCGCCCTCTCCCATTTTCCTCTCTCCCTCTAATCCCTCTCATCTTGTTCGCTAGGTGGTTCCGGAGCTCGTCCCGCCGTCGCCGTCGCCCTCCATCGCTCGCCGTCGCCGATCGTCGCCGGTGAGGCCCCTGCTCCCCTTTCTCCCTCTCTCCCGCGCCGCTTAGCCGCCGCGCCGCCGCCTAGCCACTTAGCCGCCGCTATCGCCGTCGTCTTCCGCCGCCGGCCGGTCGCCGCCTCGCGTCGCCGCTGTGTGCGCGCCGCGCCGCCGCGCGCCATGGCCGCCGGACCGGCTTGAGCCATGCCCGCGGGCGCCGGCCGCGAGCCGCATCCGCCGCCCGATCTACCGGGCGGTAGATCGGGGCCGTCCGTTCGGCCGCCCGCGTGGCCGCCGCGTCGGCGCCACGTCAGCGCCACGTGGTGCGCCGCCCCATCCCCGGTCCGTGGACTCGGTCCACCGTGAACCACCCTCCCCGAGTCACTGCCATGTGGGGCCCGCATGTCGGCGCCGCCCCTCTCTCTCTCCCGGGATTTATTTATTGCGCAATAATTCAATTAAGGATTTTTCTGTTTATAGTAAAAACACAGTGAATCTTCTAAAATTCATATCTAATTCATCCGAGCTCCGTTTAAGCCCGTTCAAGTCTCAGTAAATCAAGAAAAATGTGTAGAATCCATTAAAAATGGTTTTGTTCTCTGTTTCAGTAGTCTTATAGCCTGTTTGTATTGTTTGCTTTGTATGTCGCTTAGATTCCGGCTCTCCCGACGCTCCGGTGTACTTCGAAATAGTCGCCGAGGTTCCTCCAGCTGCAGAGCAAGGCAAGTCATGCTTGTCACTTGAACATGTTGATCCTATATTGCAAATGCTCTATTGTTTTTCTTCAAATACTGCATTGTTTTATAATATTACTATGGGATGTTTACCTACTGTCATAGCCATGCTATTTTGTACCATGTTCCTTTGTTAGCTTGGGATATAACATGACTAGAGATTGGACTAGAGAGTGCTTAGCCATGCTTAGTTCAACTAGCACACAATGGGGGAAATCATATTAATGTATAGACTGTAGGTCCTAATGTTAATGTTGGATTAGTACCACCGTCCTGGTGTTGCTTAATTAAAATAAATCCTATGGTGGGCTATTGGTGCATGGTTTGCTAGTCGCGCCCATGGCACTTAAGGACCGGTTCGCGGGAAACCCTGGAAGAATTCCTCGTACTTACCACAAGCTAGCGTGGGCAACGGCTGGGCTTGTAGTGTAGCTTTCCTCTAGCCGACGCATCCAGGCAAGGGTGGGCGTGATGGAGTTTGGATGGGCCCCGCGACGGCCTATGCGGCTTCCGGATTCACCTAGGCACGAGAGGAGACTGCCCACTGCCTTGCAAGGAGTGGGGGTGAAACCTGAGGTGTGGTGTGCTTGGTTAGAGGGGGTTATGCGAAGGGTCCTGTCACGGCCTCTTTCCGGTATGTCGTGGTGGCATGTCGGCGCATGGAAACGTGTCGTGGGGCTGTGTCTTGTGGGTACAGTTGTACACCTCTGATCAGAGTAAAACTATTCGAATAGCCGTGCCCGTGGTCACGGGCGGTCAACCAGATTCACCGTGATTAGTCTCACCCTAGTGTAGTCTGTTGGAACTGATTAGTTCAGGTGGATGGTTGGGCCTGTTGCAACGTGGTGTAGCGTTGAACAGTGGATGGTTAATATTGATTAATTATTACAACTGTTTTACTTCTTTCAACTTCTATTTATAAATGTCCGCTTTATGCAAATGAACCATTATAGCTATCCCTTGATAATTCCCTGCATCATACCCCTATTCCGGTATGACTTGCTGAGTACAGAGGGTAGTACTCAGTCTTGCTCTATTTTCCCCAAAACCCCAGAGTTTGAGTATGCGTCAGATGGTGCCTTCTCCGAGGAGTAGGCTTCGTCCGTGCCGTCGAGGATGCCTGTGGAGTGGTGTTCCCGCCGCGGTGCAAGTCAAGGCTTAGCTCCAGTTATCTTTTTATTTTCCGCTGCATTTATATAAAACTTTTATAATGTTTGTAAGACGTGGATTTGTATGTCAACTTTGTCGTTTGTGTACCCCGGCCGGTCCTAGACGGGGATTTTAATGCACACTCTGCTTGGAATTCTATTTGGGAATTTCTGGGCGTGACACTCCTCAGGCTATGTCTCTGGATCAATCAAACGATCTCTTCTACACTTGGCAAGTTGATGAAGGTAGTTGGACTTGGTTCTTCCAATGTGGTGCATAGGAGTGGTGTCAAATCCAAGAGTCTTGTAGAGCCGAACGGGATTCTCACAGGGAAATCATGAGATGCCCTTCCAGCCCCAGAACTGCGACCACCACCTCTCCCGCGACCTCTTGTATTAGGGGCATCACTTGACCACTGTCAACATCCCTAATCTGAACAGGACGGTTACTGGATTGCCTTGTAAATCTAGGAGAAGTACGAGTGCCACTGCCACTGCCGCCCTCAACCACTTTCTCTTTACCCAAACGACCACGAGTATACCGAATAGGAGGACTCTCATCACCGGACACATCCTGAGAGGCTTTCTGTCTTTTCTCACGAGTCATAGTACATACTGCAACAGGAATCAATAAATTGGAGTGCAGTAGTTAGGCAAAATTTGAGAGAAACAAGAATGGCAGGCTAGCTGGACAGCGCCCGGAGGTTCCGGGTGCAAGAACACCGGAACTTCCGCCCGGCAAAAATGAAGAACATAGGTCTCAAAAATAGCCAGTGCATGTGAACAAATCCTATAGATCGGTGATCTACAAGGTAGCAGAAACAAGACTATCCAAGTGGTTTTCTCCCTAGGTTCACAGATTTAGAGATCGGGATAAAAACACAATGAACCGAGAGAGGGAATCAAAAAGTGCTACCTTGAGAGAAGAAACTGCGAATCGATCACAGAAAGAACCTCCCAGCCACCAATGTGGATGAATCCACGGAGAAGAAACGAATTTGATTGGATGAAAGTGAAAATCGCCACTAGGAGCACTTTGGCGGCGACTAGGGCTGGCGGTGGGGAGAGAGAAGAAATGAGGAGAGAGAATACGGTTTCTAACTCCCCCTGAGTATATGTACTCCCCGACACCAGGAGGTTCCGGACAGGGAGGCCCGGAACTTCCGGCCTGACAGATAAAGGGCAGTCAGGCCCAAAAACAAGGAAGAGATGAGAATTCAACGAGGAGAAATAGGGAACTATGGACATGCATAGACTTATGACGTATATGACCAGCCAACAATCAACATTACATAACCATGGTCAATATACATCACAAGAAGGGAATAAAAGCCAAATTTTCGCAATAAAAGGCACTCAAAGGATTTTGCAAAAATTTTCATAAAAGGGTTTTTGGATATAGGGGGAATGTTTGAGCTTTATTCCTGGTATCAAGACCATCTTCTACCAAGAAGTGATCTCAAGGCAAAAAAGCTCTTTTTTTTTAATGGCAAAATTTGCTACAGAACATCCAAAAAACGTGTAATTAGCTCGTGGACACCACAAGAACGAGAATTTGTTGTCGGGCATCACAAAAAACGTGTAATTAGCTCCTGGACACTCGGGGCTTTATTTTATTATTTTCTATGAATTTGGAGAGAAAAACACCAAATAAAGACAAGTTTACCCTTGGGTCTCGACCTGGACAATGACGACGCATTGGGTTGGCCGGCGGCGGCGACGGAGCCGAACAGGATGCAGCGCTTGTGTTCTGTCCCTATGATGGGTCTGAGCAGCGGCGGCCATCGCCAGGATGCTCCGCACTGTGGCCGGCGTGCGTGGGCTCATCCCCTTGGTATGGAGCTAACCGACGTGTTGATCGACGACACCGACGCAATGTCCGGCGACCGGAGAACACGGCGCCTGGTACGTGGGCGATGGTGGAGAGTTGTGACGTCGCGGAGCTGCTCCTCGCCAGCCTCGACACCGGTGTCCCATTCTCCCACCGTGTCAATGGCAGCTGCTTCGCAATTGCAAGGGAGAGAAATGGGGA